AAATTCATTGTTCATGGTCGACAACTTCAATGACAGGTTGTTACTTAAAATAAAGCAAACGCTCTTTGATTTTATTATTAGTAGTCCATTCAGAAGTTTAACAATGGATGTATTCACGCTTGATCCCCCTTACTAAATTCAGAAGCACCCTTAGTGATTTATTCAGGATAGGCCTGCTTCTAAAAATTATTACTTTAGATATGATTGTTAGGCTTAAGTCCTTTCGTGTGGAAATCATTAGCAGTCTGACATACGTATGCATATATAGCACTGAATAGAATAGAGAAAGATGAGAAGAAGCTGCCCACTGAGGTATTCACCCTTAAGTGTGCCCAACATGCATATGGAATCCAGATGTTAAGTATGTGTGTGCTGTTTCATTATTAAGTTGAGTGAGAGCAGTGTTGCCATCTGTAGATGACATGCAACAGTGCAATAAACACATTTGCATATATTTACGCAACAATGATGTTGTCATATGTAATACAGTATAAATAATAATAGAAGATTTACACGTCAATATAAATAAACATCAAAATAACACACATTATTATTAACACATATTATTCAAGCTCAATGCTGATTTATATTAAATGGTATGTGAGGCAGATGTTTTAAAGTTATGTAATGCCCTAAATCAGACATGAGGTGCCCCACCAACACCAACACAATTAAATGTTACCACCTTTTATTATTGTACTGAGTATGTCATATTATGGGAGTGACTTTAAAGTAAACATGATATTAAAACTGACCCTTTTACTTTTCAATGCCTCTTACTGGGTCATGTTATTTTAAAGAAAAGAAAATATTTCTCTTTCTAATTTGTATTAAAAGGTAATAACTTACTCTTCCTCTAAAACTGCCGCTAGTCCAAGACAGAGAGCATAGGGCACTTCATGTAAAGTGTAATATACCTAAAAATTGATTGCCATGTTAAACTCATAGGTCGGAATTGGATGCTGCAATTGCCACTCTTATGGCAATTGATCATAATAATTAGAATAAAAAGTCACAAAATTAGTTCAGAAATAAATGCCTTTAAGCCATTTTCCCCCAGTTTATAATAATTATTGTTGTCTATTACTGATTTTTATAGATCGTAATCTGTAGTTAATTACACTGATTGTGCTATTGCAATGTACCTTAAATCAATATTTTAAAGGTCTGTGGTTAAAAGAAAAAGTATTTAACATTAACAAAATAGGTGGCTCTGTGGTTAGCACTGTCGCCTGACAGCAAAAAAGTTGCTGGTTCAAGATCAGGTTGGATAAGTTGGCATTTCTGTGTGGAGTGTGCATGTTCTCCCTGTGTTGGCGTGTGTAAGGTAGTGCTGAGAGCCACGAGACCGATAGAGCAAGTGTTAACAAGTGTTGAGTCCTGTGTTCTAGGAGCTCCAGATGTTTTGTCTTTACCTTATGAATAAAGATGTTGCTCATCCACCAGTTCCTGCCTACTTGTACATTATAGCTTTCAGAAAAACAAAACACCTGCAAAGAAACTCGACACAGAGTAACATAAAACCTCTAGCAACATAAACAGCATGCAGAAGTATAAATGCATGGCTACGAAGCATGCGCTGCGGGTTCAGAAGTATAAACCAGCCTTAAGCTAAAGGAAAATAATTGAATTATTTAAGAAAATACTGTATGAAATAAAAGAACATTTAAGTGTACTCTTTCAGGGCGGTTTTAAGTGTTTTCTTTTAAAGTCCAGTTTTAATAATGTCTAATTAAAAGCTGTAAGTTGTGCTTAATTTATTATATTTATAACAAAAAAAAAATAATCATTTATAAAGAAACATTGTATGCGCACTTATTTTAATGAATAGGAATCTTAGGCAAAATACTATGTTATAACTTTTAGTGTTACTTTTTTTTTCCAATTTTAAATGTTCTAAACTGCAACTTCTTCATGAAAAATGTTTACCTGTAACTGAGTACTGGACATTGAATATAAAAGATTAAAGAAATTCAGTCCCAAGACAAAAAGAATAAACATTTCCAAATTCACTTCATTCTAAGTTGTATTGGTCACTTTATTTTGATGGTTCGTTTGTTGAATTTAAGTTACATTGCATCTACATACGTACTAATTCTCATTAGATTACAAGTAGACTGTTAGGTTGGGGTTAGGGTTAATGTAAGTTGACATGTACTTACAAAGTTTCTTATTGTTAGCTAAATGTCTGTTGAAGGAGCATTATCAGAAATAAAGCACAGTCTACTAATACTCAATTGAACCATCAAAATAAAGTGTTACTGATTTATTTTTGATAGTTCATATAGCATATTATTTATTTTATTTGTAATAATAACTGTTGACTAATGACAACAGGGATGATAGCACAAAATGTATTTAAAAATGTATTACTTATCACACAACGATGAACTGGAAGTTAAGCAATGGCACCAGATCTTGACATTTCTTTTCCTTTATGAATTGTATTTTTTTGATCATTGCAGTCGCATGAAGATAATACCTTCATTAACCATTCTTCGCTGTGATGGCATGCCACTTCTACTTTGTTATACTCCTTCATATCCAGGATCATCTCTATCACGGGACTCTTTCTTCATTGATAGGATCCTGTTTCAGCTCGCATTTAAACTGCTCACAAAGTTTTCTTGTCATATGCAACAACCCATCTTCCTTTGTTTGCCCCCGAACTTATAAAAAAAAAAGATGCATTATTTCAAAGACTTAAGGTGAACAAATTTGGTGATTGCGGAGGTCCTGAGCTGGGAACAAATATTTCTAGTAGTCTTTTAAAAAAAGCTTTTCTAATGAGGCATTAAAACAAACACATCAGAGCTCATCTTTCTGTTTTTATCACTTTGATACTATAATGACCCCAAGCATGTAATTGTAAAAACAAATATGCAATATTAAAAAAAAAATGTCTGATTACACACCTTTTTCTCCATGACTAATAAAATAAAAACCCAGCTTTAACCTATTATTAAAGCTGACATTTAGATGTCAGTGGATTCAATCTTAATGGGGTGAAACTGAGGTGAGCATATAAGGCTTTTTGTGCCTTTTTCTTTTGGGCTAAGAAGCTTAATTTTAAAACCTTTTCAAAAAGTTGGAAATTAAAGCTAAAATGAGGACATCACACCAGATTAAACATACAATTTATGACAGATCAAGTAAATGTGTTGTTTCTAGTAAAACCTCCAGATTAGCAAGTATTCCATGACTGAGTTTTAGAATGATTACTAGTGTTACAACAGCACCATCTAGTGATTAAAAGGTACTTGAGCAAATTAAGGTTAGGCATAGAAATACTTGCCTGACAAAACACAACCTCGTTTTAAAATTCCAAACATTTATTTATTTATCAACTCATTTTTAAATACTATGCCTGGAGGGCCTGTCCATTTTTGTTTATTGTGCATTTTGTCCAGGTGTCCTTCTCGTCTTAATTATTTGCATTGAATGAACTGAATAATTTTTGTCTCTTACATTTTCCAGACAACATTTGGTTTTCATTTGTGTAGTCATATCACTTCCGGTGCAAACGTTGTCCATCCACAAGATGGCAACAGAGATCACATAACAAGCCATTAGAGTAGAAGATTAAAGATAATTTTCAGGTTTAATTTGTTGGCTTTTTCAGGGTTAATTATTGTGATCTCTATTTTACTTTCTAAAATACTTTATACTTGTATTATTATTATTTTTTTTTTGGTTGTTGTCCTATATATTACTGTTTACTTTTGCAAATTATTATACATACATTTGCATAAATTTAACAGTCACCACTAAGACATCACTGTAATCTCATAATATTTTTAAGATTATTTATCACAATTGATTTCTTTTTTTTTAGAACAAATAATTGATGAAGGACAGATTACACCTGTGAGCCAAATAAAGGTTAATTATCTCACTAAGTCTAACTCTGCTGCTGAGTTACATTATCTTAATTTAGAGAGGGACCAAATATACTCAGTAAATTTTATCCATAACTTTAGTATCTTTGGTATAAAAGCAGTCGTTAAGTAACTGATCTTGTTTGTTTGTTTTTTATTTATTTGTTGTTGTTTTTTATATATATATAATAGTGGTATACTAATTGCAGTTAAAGGGATGGTTCGCCCAAAAATGAAAGTTCATCATTTCCTCACCTTTCACTTGTTCCAAACCTGAGTTACTATGCATGTCAATGGTTTCCAGCTTTCTTTCTTTTTTTTTTTTTTTTTGGTGTTCTCTCTCTCACTTACTCACCACTTGATGCTTTTTAAATAGCTTCTCTCTCTCTCTCTTTATCTCTCTCTCTCTCTCTCTCTCTCTCTCACTCTCTGTATGTATGTATGTATATATATATATATATATATATATATATATATATATATATATATATATATATATATATATAGGGTTTTATTTTTATTTAGATTGGATTAAATAATTTCTAGACTTTTTAACAAGTTTGCTTGAAAAATTAAGGTTCCTGAAGAAGTTGCCAAATGTACTTTAAGACTTTAAATGTTCTGATGATTAATTTTATACAGTATGTATGGAAATAAAAATATCAGGGTCATCTCAAATATTAATACTATTTTACTTGTTATACAAAACTTATTATATATTATATGCTGAATAACACTGATTTTCCAGTAATTTAAATTAAAGGTAGTTAAAAAAACAAAACAAAAAAACTTACTAATATTTATTCACCCTCAAGGGGTTCCAAACCTTTACGAGTTTCTTTCTTCTGTTGAACCCAAAAGACAATAATTTGAAGAAAGCTGAAAACCAGTAAACATTCACTTTGATGGTATAGGATAATTAAATATGGAAGTCAATGGTAACAGATTTTCAAGTTTCAAAATATCTTCTTTCGAGTTTAATAGAAGAAAGAAAGTCAAATAGATTTTAAGCAAGTAAAGGGAGAGTAAATGATGGCAAAGTTTTCATTTTATGATGAACTATTTTTTTAAATATTAGTTACAAATATCAAAAAATGGCATAATTATTTGTACTTTTTACAACTATTTTTCAGGAGACACAAAAGTCTTAGTGGAACACATAAATGAACTCTTCATATATTTCTTAAACGTTTGATCTCTCAAGCCATATATGAGTGGACTTAATAACCGTGGCAAAATGCTGGTAAGAATAAAGGTGCAGTAGTAGATTATTTGCCTGTAGTCAGGAAAGCGACTTGTCAAAGCCCCATCCAGAACTGTTGTTAACAGGGACAGCGTACAGAGCAGTAGCTGAACCCCGTGCAGTAAGATAGTTCTCCTCGCCTTCTGTGCTTGAGCTGGTTCTGATGCAGCTGCTTTAGCAGAGAATAGCACTTTGAAGTAAGTGTAGAAAAGCAGCACCCACACTGAGCACATATAAACAATGTTAAAGACAGCATGGCTTATTACATGATACTCAAAATCGAACACATTTTGCAGGAAGCAAATACGATTAGAAGTAAAGAAGGAGAGAGGACGAAGAGCCAAGACCACTAAAAAGTCCAACATGCCAGGCAGGGCTCCCATCAGCCAGATGATGCCGATCAGGATTTTAGTGTTTTGGACGGTACATATTTGTGCATGATGTAAAGGGTAGCAAACTGCCACAAATCGCTCAATAGCCATGCCGGCCAGGTTTAGAGGTGTGTTCTTGAAGACGTTGCTCGCAATCAAGACAAGAACGCAGCAGATTGCAACATTTAAGTTTGGCAGTAAACAAGTGAACACATATAAAGTAACACCAACAGACAAAGTTATGATGTCATTGATAATCAGCTGTGTGTATAGGATATAGCGAGGCTCCTGAGCAAGGACAGGGTTTTTGAAGAAAGTATAAAGCAGAATGCTGTTGATACAATTGATAATGACACCCAGCAATACTACAAAAAAGCTTTTGAATACACAGTCCCCCAAAAAATCTTGCTTATTGTTTGAACTATTCATTTCACAATCACCAATAAACTATTTAAGAAAAAGTCCCGTTAATTAAGTAAAATTTAGCTTATAATTAGGATAACACTCTAACTCAAAGACAAATTGAGTCATTGCATGCTGAAGTAGATCCCAAAAAATTGGTCTGAGCCTACTGGAGCTAGAATCTACACATGAAAAACATCAGGCGTTTTCCTCTGATAAGTCTTTCTGTCATTTGAACTGGCCTTTATATTGATGTTGGCATCCATGTTTCATATTTAGGGTTTGCCATATTCTCATGAGCTCTGCTGTCACTACTTGGTCCCTAAAGAAAAAAAGTGCAAGAGAGACATACTGAAGCAAATAATACTCGAGTTAAAAACAAGTTGACCTTTTGATTATCCTATTTTTACATCTATATTAAATAGCTGGTGGTGTCATGGTGGCGCAGTGGGAAGCACAATCACCTCACAGCAACAAGGGAGTTTGAAAGTTCTCCTCGTGTTTGCATGGGTTTTCTCCAGGTGCTCCAGTTTCCCCCCAAGTCCAAACATGTGCGCTATAGGTGACTGGAATAAGCTAAATTGGCCGTAGTGTCTGTGCGCTTCAAAATGTGGCATGCACTGGAGACAGTTTGGGACTGCAGACAGGCCAGTCAAGTACCTGTATCCTCTTCCTCAGCAGCCGGGAGTGTAATTTGTGTAGAATATGGATTTGCATTGTCTTGTTGATATATGAATGAGCATCCCCGCACTGTAAAAAAAAAAAAATTATGGAAAAAAATACTGGCTGTTATGGTTGCCAGAACTTTTTTTTTTTTTTTTTGTTAAAAATACAGAATTTTTTATATAAATAGAATTTTTTAAAATATAGTTTTTATAGAACAGTTTTTAATTTTTTACAAGATTTTTTTTTTTTTATAAATAACTGATCACAAACCTTAAGTTAATTATTTTTATTTGCTGAAACAACTTAATTTTAATTGGCATTTAATGGAAATAAAAGCAATATTTTAATTGTTTAAGTAATATTTCTGAGCATATTGATATTTGAAACCATTTCACATCATTTCACTAAGAAAATCTTTTTTAAATAATACAAAGTCATTAAATCATTCAATTTAAGTCATTTTAATTTAAATGCACTAATGTGTTCATGTGTGATTGTAATTAACAAACAGACTTTTGCTGCATTAGTAACTACACAGTTACCTTTAAATTTAAGAAAATGCAGCATTACATCAAATACTCTCAGTTCAACTTGAACACAAAAAGATTTTACGGTATTTTGCTGTTGTTTTTCTTGGTTTAACAAAAAATACTGGCAGCTGTGGTTGCCAGTAATCTACTGTTTTTACATTTTACATTCGTGAATTCAATTTACAAAATATTTCTGTTAAAAATACATTCCACAGTCTGTATTTTTCGCCAAAAACATTTAACCCCTTAAATCGCAGAGCAAAATCTTCAGTAGGGTGCTCACTACCTAGGGTTGAACACTCAGGTAGTGATGAAGTTAATCAGACAATTAAGTGTCTAATTAAAAGAAGATTGAGAATTGTTAATGAACAACTGTAATTAAAGCAGTATCACTGAAGGAAAGAAAAGCAAGACCAAATAAAACAACTTACAACCAAAATCAAAGATGAAATCAACTGAAAAATAAAATCTAAATGAAAATAATAATTAATAAAAATAAAACAAATTACACAATAAAAATGTAATTTCTCAATTTCTCAGCAGAACATCATTAAACAACTCTACAAACATCAGGAGCTTCACTCATTACAAAAGCTCTTAATGAAATTGTTGTTGTTCATTTGAATTCACCATGATGAAAGACAAAGTCTGCTTTAGTTGGGCTCTTTGTTTCAAATCAAATCAAATCACTTTTATTGTCACATCATTAGCACATGTGCTATGATGAATGAAAACCTTAGGTGCTGGCTCCAGACAGTACAAAATACAGATGCAAATACAATGACAGTGCAAAATACAGACAGTGCAAATAAAATGACAGTGCAAGTACAACAACAATGTAAAATTGAAGTATGGATTGGTTAAAGTGCAGTGCATGCTACATATTGATGGTGTGCAGTGAGGGTATGGAAGAGTCTGTGTGTGGTGTGTTAAGTGTTCATCAGCCTGATAGTCTGAGGGAAGAAACTTTCCTTCAGTCGGCTGGTGCGTCCAGCAGTTTGCAGAAACCGATGTAGGCCTTTGCGATTGCTGCTGGTGCTATTGCCATACCAGGTGGTGATACAGCCAGAAAGGATGCTCTCCACAGTGCAGGTGAAGAATGAGCAGGGGATATGGGGGCTCATTCCAAACCTTCTGAGACGTCTGAGAAAGAAAAGGCGTTGTTGTGCCTTCCTCAGCACTGCGTCTGTGTGGAGAGTCCATGTCAAATCCTCAGCGATGTGTACTCCTGAGAAACTAGAAAGTGCTGACTGTCTCCACTGGTGTCCCGTTGATGGTGATGTGTTCTCTCTTCTCTCTCCTGAAATCCACCACCAGGGGCCTCATGTACGAAGACTTGCGTTAAAATCATACTAAAACATTGCGTACGCACAAAGCTGTAAATGTGCGTATGCAGAAAAAAATTCTGATGTATGAAACACTACGTATGCCGAATCCCATGCATATTATTTGTACATCTGAAAGAACATGAAACTGAGCGCAACATGCACGAGCACAAAACCCCTCCCTGCCTCCTCCCCCGTATGAATATGCTAATGATTCTACTTTGGCAAAACCCAAAGAAAAAGCAATGGCAAAAGCAAGCCAAGAAACTTTAAACAGAATGTGAACTGGAGGTGCTGCTTTCGAAGGTAGACCGGAGAAAAATGGTTTTAATTGCAATTTTGTTCTCCGGAATTAATAACAAAAGAAAAAAAAATAGAGTGGGAGAGTTTAGCTGATGCAGTTAACACAGTTGGGTCTGAACATCGCACTGAGTGGATTTAAAGGGTCACGAAACACCAAAACACATTTTTTGAGCTGTTGACAGTCGTATATGTGTCCCACACTGCTAAAAACACTATTAAGACACCTATATTTCACTAAAAAGTGTAAATTGGTTGTTTTTGCGTTATTTCAAGCAAATTCGTACTTCCTGTTTGAAACGAATTTTTGAAGCTGCTTCACGGTCATGACATAATAGCCTGTATTCCAGCGTGCAGACTGGGCGTCTGTGCCAGAGTGAGTCTTATTACGTCTTATTTGTGTTGCATTAATGCATGAGTAAAGCTTGGTTCAAACCAATCAGCGCGCTCTATTGTGCAACTTCATTAACATTCATTACTGTGTTTACACGACATAGATGCCACGTTGTGTTGGCAAAACAAGCGTGAAGTGTTGCTTTTATAGTTTGCTGCCGTTAAGTTTCGTTTTCTTTTTCTCTCTGTGAGAGCTCAGACTCACGTGTGGATTAACAGTGTACGCGACGCTCGACAACAATAACTTACGTGTCTAAGGAGGATTATTGTTTACCTGAGAGCTGTTCTCATCTGCAAACGCTGAGATTGGATTCGCTTGTAGTCTTCTCTTCATAAAGATGCGGCTCTAGCTGCTGGTGATTGTCCTGTCTCTATAGATTTGGTAAGTGAGCGACCAGTGCTCTTTGTTTATTCAGTTTGTTCGTATCGAACTAAGTTAACTATTGCACCGTAACATGTTAGGACCACAACCAAACTTTAACCTCGTGTAGGGTTTTTAACCGCATTTTGTGACCGGAATAACACACGCGGCTTTCTGACGCTACCTGCCGTGTGCATCTAAGTTTCCGGGAAATGCGGAGGTTTTTTTTTTCTCTCATTTGCCGTGCGGTATCAAACATTGCATGAAAAGTACACGCTTAGAGCAGATCCTCGAATCAAATATCTTGTTTGTTGCGAGTTGCATGAATGAATTCCCTGAATGAAAGAGCCAAACTGCAGTTAAAGTCCACCATTTAATAATTTGGCAAATAATTCCACTACAGATGTCCATGTAGGTTAAACACCATCACTTTCTACTGTGTGTGAGTATTTTGACTGAAACACGCGCGTGCCCAAAATGACACTCCCACACCCTCCCACTTAATTCCTCCGACACTCCCCCCTAAACAGAGCTGGACACGCCCACTTTTCTGACTTTTTTCAAAGTAGAGGTGTGAAAACACCCTGCTGAAACGAGGGGGTTTCATGGCCCTTTAAAAAAGAAATAGTGCTATGTAAAGGTGTAAAATTTTGTAGTGTCTTTAACAGCCTGAGTAGCGCAGCTTGTTAAATGCATGCCAATATGTTTTCACACGTTCAAGCATGAACTCGGTTCGAATCCAGCGTCTGAGGAATTTTCTCTTTTTTTTCCCTCGCTACATATCAGATTTTGCCTATACTCTTCATCATCATGAGGAAGACAAGTAGGAATCATTAATAAGTCTGTGCATCATATTTTATTTGCACATTTATTGCATGGAAATGTTTCTAATTCACATATGCAAATTCATCATAAGATGGTGCCTTTATAGCAATGTGCGTGCATTAGATAGCTCCGATTACATTGGGAAGACTGGCGAACGCTGCAAATTGCCCTTTAATGTTTGGATGGTCAACTTTATGGTACGGAAACCTTATGTACTAGACATGCAGATGAACCCTTCTCATACAGCTGAGAAGACACTTTGTAGAGTGCAATTTAACACAACTGCCTCTTGGAGTCGCCAATGGAAATAAAACAGAACACAAAAAATGTGCGTACGCCAGCCATGAAGTTGGCGTGGAGCTGCGCACATTCCCACGTTCATTTCATCGTTAGTAAATCCAAACGTGAGCGATTCTGAGCGTAAAACCTGGCGTACGCAAAGTTTTTGTGCGTACGCAGCGTTGATACATGAGGCCCCGGATTCTTGGTTTTCCTAACACTACTGCATCAGAGTGTGCACCTCCTCTCTGTAGGCCATCTCATCATTATCGGTGATTAGGCCCACCACCGTTGTGTCATCAGCAAATTTAACGATTTGTTTGTTCTGACACTAGTATTTATTTTGAT